AGCTTGGGAGTCAGGAACCAACCAGAACGAGGCTGGAGTTGATGCAGCGTCACTCTTGCCCTTGGAATGGTCCATCAGGGCAGGCAAAAGGTGGGACCGGATATATGGCCCAGATACTGTTCCGGACCCGCTTTTACAAACCCGGGCAAGGGGTGCGTTAGTCATGCTGGTGTACATTGACTGACTTGCAGTAGTCAGGAGCTCGGGGCTCCAAGACTCTCAAGAGTCAAGACTCAGGAGCAGATGCTACGGGCCTCACCTACCTTACCTTTCTACTGTGTATGTAGGTATCTCGCTCTCACCTTCCCTACCAATACAGCCAAAGGTGGACGAGGGGACGGGAATCTCCAAGGGGGCATCGGAACGGTCCAGTCCAACCTCGCTTTACCTCGCTTTGGTGTACCTAGCCGCACTACGCTTGTTGCGCTCCGCGGTGCATAGGCGCATAGACATCCCAGCTCATCACCTGCCTTGGCCCAGCGATATTACCTTCTCTCCGGGCCTGGCTACCTTCCTTACCTTACCAATACGGATACTATGTACTTTGTATACGCCCTAAACGTACGGATACTGCGTAAGGTAGGCAGGTAATGGGCGAGTACCCGTACCCGTTCCGAAGTACGTACACGGAGACGCACCCGGCGCCTCTGATTCGCTGAAATGTCTTTCAACTGACTTGACGCTGGGCGGTTAATTGCGACTCGTCCTAGCTATTGCAACCTTATTCCGAGCCCTGTCATTATTACCAACTCGATAACCACCGGAATGGAGGCTGTCGCGCCTGATTTGGCTCTTGTTTGTCTCGAGGTACTAGGGGGGGTTTTCTTTCGTTTTTTGCCTTTCTTAGCTCTGACGCTGCCTCAGCCTTTCCCACGTCTTGACCTCGGCCAAGTATCATGAAGCCTAAGGAGGGCGGGCGGATGGCACGAATACAGGCAACCGCGCGAGAAAAGGGGGCTTATGATTGATCCATCATCATTCACGAGATTGGAATGGACCTCTTGAAGACAATTAGAATCCAACTTACGCACTCCCCGCCGTATCATCCGTGGAGCTTACCCATCTACTGTCCAACTAAACTCGAAGCTATCCCATGCCATTGCAACAACTCTTACACCCTAAAGCATGTGCCGCCATGCGAAAAGAAAGACGTGCGGTTGCCCGAAGGCTGAAGACAGGTAAGCCACCGGGCGGCCGCCCCTCTAGGCTCAATGTCCACCCTCTACTCCCTTTACCCTTTCCACACTATCCGCCCTTCACCTCGCGCCTTTCTCGCGTCTTCACCCCCATGCGGCGACGCCCATCCCATTGACCCATGAACCGGGATACACACATTTTCCCTGTGGCTTGTGGGCTTAAAGGGAAAAAAAACGTTCTCTTTGCGCTAGGTACGTAGGGGCCGCGGGAAAGCATGCCCTCAACAATCAAACGACCAAACAATTAATCTTGGAGGCCTTGCCAGGCCACGCCCGGCCTAGCTGACTTTTTCTTTCCCCCCCTCGCACCTATCCCAAGCTTCATCATGATGTTCTGGTGGGCTCCGCAACATACGTAAGTCTGCATTTCGAGGAGTTTAAAGTGCGGATACCCTGGGTTCAAGGATATGATCCATCACATCAAGGAGACAGACATCCCCATAACGCCCTTGCGCAAAGCATTACCGTGTTCGATGTACGGGTATGAACCAACAGTGGAACGATATGCATGCTCTCTATTGCAGCAGTACGTAGAGGAATACACGTAACACATCACAGAGACAATACGTTGCAAACACGCTTGTGTATCCCTCTCCAGACACTGGACAGGGACCAGAATCCTCCGAACGTTCGCCCTGAAGTTGCCTGCCGTAGCACAAGGAGGTATCGTATCGGACTTTGGGCACCTAACCGGGTCCCTTGTTATCACTTCGTGCCCATGTCTTGCCTGACAAGCCATCACATCTATTTCCCTCAGGTCTCACAGGGGAACGAACCGTCTCAATGCCTCACATGTTTGACAGGATACTGCAGATGACCATGATTTACAGTCTGACAGTCAAGTATCAGATGTAATACTCCCGAACGGTGAAAGAGAAAACATTCACAAAAAGAGAAAAGGATCTGCCATGATCCGTCTCATCCCTGGCCCTATGACACCATAGCGTGCTAATCACTGGAGGTTGGGGGCCGCCCGCGTCGCGGTTGATTGCTTGATTGTCTGATTGCCAGCCGGGAGTCGTAATTGTATGCGGTACGTACATATCGATATCCCGTTATGCCATTCTCGACTACGGGGTTGCTCTCCGTTTTGGCCCCCTCGTGCAGCAGCTTTCGCACTAGGGCCCTCCCATCCCCCATCCCCCGTCCATCAGTCTGTAGCCACAAGGGACCGGCACGGGACCAGAAAACCTCCCAGCTTCCAGTTTACTGGAACTGTCGAGCCAGGATACCCGCCCCCTTCTCTTCCCTTGTGTTGAAAAGCGTGTGTATCTGTACTGAAGTATGAATGGTGGCGGTCCAAGGTACGTGCGCGGTTAACGCTCTGTGCTCCTCTCGTGTGAGGAGTGGCTTTTCCTCCTTCTCCATTGTGTCGTATTTAATCAGCTTGTCAGCGTATTGTTCTCTTCTCGACGACAAGGTTGTCTAAGTCAGGTCAACCGACCCCTTGAGTCTCCGTACCCGTAGCCGTAGGTATTCGTAGCTTTGCCCTTGCTATCGCCAAGGCTTCCCTCCACCCTTCACCCTGGGGCATGTCCCGGCATCTACATACTGCGGATACAACCCTTTCTTTCCTGCACCCTCACCCCTCGGAGCACAAAGGTGAGGGGCACCTTGGCCTAACTACACGTCTCTCTCGGGCTAAAGTGCGAGGGAGGTGACGCCGCAAGGAAAGTGGAAATTTGCTGCCTGCATGGACAGCGAAGTGCCTTGTTTTACAGTAAACTCTATCTTTCCGAGTTGCTGGGAGGGAGCGAGCCGACTTCCGACCCGGGACTGGCGACTCGCGGGACGGAATACCGTAGGTAACTTGGACTGAATTTTGGGTTTTTTTTTTCCTCATTGGGGGAGTGGTCCTACGATCGAACGACGGCTGAGAGCCAAGCTTCCATCCCTTCCCTTTCGCCCTTCCCGCTCTGCTGCCCACAGCACCCTCTGTCCTTCGCCTGTCTACAGCTGTATGTGGATCGGGATGGGCAACAACATCGTCATGGCTCCAGAATATCTAACTTTTACAGTGTTTTCTTTTTCCTGTTCGTGACTCCCGTTGTTTGCGCCATCCCGCCAACATCGCGGCAGCGCCCCTTCTTCGCCTCCCGTCCGAGACGTTGTATAACCTCATCCCGAGGCATGGCAACTCCGATCCTCCAGGACAGGCTCCCGAATAGGGCAAGACTCCCGTTGTTGTATGGATGTATGGATGTGCCTTTCTCATCAAGAGTCAGACGAGGCCCTGCTTTGATACAAACTCTCTTTTGATTATCATCATTCTCTAATTGAATCCTCCGCCTCTATTTCCCGCGTTGGCACCGAACTTGCTACCCATTTTTAACCATCTCGGCCCTTTCGTAGCCTTGTTGTTCGACATGCCCCAACGTGCCAGCCGGGCCCAGCGACTGTCATGCTTGCTTTCGGTCGTTGACCGAGACCGGCCCCATGCGTGCGATCATCAACGCCTCACGCCCAGCACGACGCTGACCCATTCGCTGTGGCGTTGCAGCGAAGGTCACTCTAAGCAGGGAACCCCGAAGTTGCGAGATTCCGTTGTAAACTCTCAGAGAGAGCTACCCCAGCTCTCCATCAACCCGTACCGCCCTGCTACTTGAGCACCGAACTGGTACAACTCCCTGTTGTAAATAGTGTACAACTGCCCTTGACGCTCATTCCCCCGCACGTCCAGTAATTGAGGGAGAAAAAAAAGCTCTCTGTCGCTGTCTGATCATTGGACCGTCGCGATAATTCTATTCGCTGTATGGAGCCTATTCGTCCCTTTTTGGCATATTTGTTGTCCAAATTTACCTTTGCGCGGACCCTGAATAGTCTCTGGAGACTGGAGCCTCCTTGCCGGCACTCCGCTTAAAGGCTGAAAGCACCGCCTTACCTGACTCTCGTCATCCAGACATTGACCTCAACTCACGGTAGAGATTGGCTGGTTCGTAAAGCTGGAGTTGTAGGATCTTCACTAGCTCCCTGTTATTTGACCGTCTGGGCCCCCGGCTCTCAGTGACTCTCAAAATCACCACGTAACGGCAAACCCCTACAACCAATCCACTGTGGAGTTTCCCTCTAGGTTGTGTCTTTCCGCCTGAGCTCTTGGGAACGGTCCAACAGTGTCCAGGACAGCGGAGAAGTAATCTGAATGGGGCCTTGGCTTCCCTACGAAACCTCGAATCCATTACCGCACTTAGTCGACATCTCCGTCGCTTAGCCTAGAATGAATGGTACCACACCTTGGGCCGCCGTAGTAGACAGAATATCAGTAGCTACGTACTCGATCCGTGCTGTATGTAACGGTATTAGCTTACCTTGACCCCTTACTCTTCCCGGGGCGGCTCTCGATCTCTGATCTAGCCGACGTCTCGGGCCCCGCAAGTGCCATAGGCCCGTTTGCTAGATTGCTAGGTGCTAGAACACGCGCTATCTAGAGCGCAAGGATTGCTGGAAAACCCCGAGCCACCGCCAATGAACGACTTGTTAATCATCACCAGCCTCTGGGTCTTTGTGGCAAAGCAAGAGCATCTGTGTACGCCCTCCCGCGTTCAACCAGATCTATGTGTTAGTCCCGAATATTGCGGAGTGGCTGGTGCCCTGAAGGGCTGAAGAACAACACCCACGGAAGCATGCAAGAGGTGTCTTTTTTGGCATACGTCCGTAGCACTACGAAAATCAGATGACGCAATACTCTGAGTCTCTATTCTTTGACCCAGAGCCCGCGCGGTCTCGACGACGGCGCCAACGCTACCGGGTCCTCCAACGGCGATACAAATTTCGTTACTCAATAACGAGGTAATCCGTGGAATTGCGATGACGACTCCTGGGGCCAGTCGAGATTGTCGTGAAACAGACCTGACAACTGAGCGGCGGTCGCTCACCACGGAGGTGTGTCCCAGTTGGGAAAATGCTAGTCGCTCCTCCGAAAGGCAAAACGGAATCACAGCAGCGATGAGCACCACAGGTGTGTCAGGCAAAGGTTGGACTTTAAGAGCTGGGCCGGGTGCGGCACAGGGGGGCTGCTATTGCTCATCTTTGGCATTCCTCCGCGGATTGTCCACCTTCTACCCCCATTCAGAGTTTGTCTCTGAGCAGCGGCTTTTCCGGACCGGTTGTGGATCGACCATCGTCTGTTCTGGCCTGCCTGTTCACAATTCCACCGCCCTGCTTGTGGTGAGCTCCGGATGTGCCAGGCACGGAACGGCACAAGTAGGCGGCTTGGTGATGGGGGTCAAGCGGAGTTGGGGTGCGCCGGTCAGCATGGCACGAGACACCCGGGCCAGAGCATCAGCCAGTTGCAGGTACTGTTCGACACGGTTTTGGCAGAGGGTGCAGTAGTGAAGGCTGACCGTGAGGTACCTGAATGGAGTACTGGTCAGTGATGGGTGAAGGGCCGAGGGTGGTATGAAGTAGGGGGAGGCCAACTTCAGATCCCGAGGTTGCTGGGGGACCCCCCAGGCCCCGCGTAAGAAACAGAGTTTTGATCCAAAACCTAGACAGCTTGTGTGGCTTCCACATGGTTATCATTTTTGGAAACCCCATCTCACTCATTGCTGACAACGACCGACGACAAAAGTCAGAAAGAAGGGCTCTGCTCCGTGGAAAACCGGGGCGAGTCAGGATTCGACGGCCCACCGGTTCCCACCTGTTCCACCGGTTGGACGTGCTGCCCTGGGCCTCTTTCTAGAAGACCGAGAACTTTAAATTCTGGAGAAGTACGGAGCCGGGCTGGGTGATCATGCAGAGGCCTGACAAGCAGGAACCAACAGTGCCACGGCAGACGTAAGGGAGGGACGCTGTGGGTGTTCTACCGTTTGAGGTATACGGTCAGGTCCCGGTCAGGCGGCGGTGAACCGAATTCCATCATTGAGCAACCCACTCGGACTGAGCAATGAGAACCAATCCTCGTCCGTTACTGAGGTGGCCAGTAAACTCTATGCTCCCTCACCTCTCAAGTGCGGAGAGTTGACGGAAGACATCACCGTCAGGACCCACGGGAGAGTCTCTAGGGGGAGCCAAGAGGCGAGTCGCGGATAGGCAAGGCAAAGCGAGGCAAGAGGCCACCCCATTCAGTGCCGTGGCACCGTTCCGCACTTCGATTTCCGCTCACGGGGTAGAGATTCGTCTCAAGGGTCTAGATGGCTCTACAGACTTCGGGAGATTGTGGGCGGGTCGGCTTCGACGGGAAGCACATCGCGGCCACCGACCAAAGCTCTCACCATCGCGTGGCCAGGCCCGGTCAACCAGCCTTCGATCGGCCACATTCCGTTGTCCACTATGACCAGCAGCCACTATCACCACCCGGTGCTTGGTCCAACTACGCCGCAGTAAAGCCGTGGCCGTGCCGGAGACCTGCGTCACCTTATCAATCTGGGATATCATGACCGGCTGGGAATCCCCTCGCGGAGTCGGTCCAACTAAGGCAGTAGCTCGGCCATGGGGTTTTGACGTTTGGTGCTCAACCACAGCCCTGTGCGCGCCACCAATACTGAAGCGCGGTCTCTTTTAGTTAGGGAGCCATGAATCGAGCATGATTCTCGAAGCCCGGAAGAACATTCAGTAGCGCTGTTTGCTACATGCGCTTGGACAACGCTTTGCTCCTCGCTTGTCTTGCATCCGCTGTATGTCAACAACAACTCTTTCATCCGTTCCAGTCTCCACGCCAAGGCCATCTCCGGGCCCTTGACTTCGGGCATGACGTTTCGACGATGGCAAGATTCAGCAAAACTTTGGATCATTCCCACACACTCGGGAGTCACGGCTCGTTGACAGCCCAGCTTCGATTACAATGCGAAAACACAAATAGTGCCGTCTGTTGGTCATCATGCCGTTCACATCCGGTACCATTTTGTATCGAAGCAAATTCTATTCAGCCAAGCCAACTGTATTATACAATTATCGGCACAAAGTTTACAACCTTTGCGGAATGCTGTTGGATGCTGCCATGCTGGTCTAAATGGTGAGTGGATCTATAAGTCGTCAATAAGAAAAAAAAACAGGACCGATTCGCATGCCAATCCCGAGAATAAGGCGAGCGTCTCGTTCAATTGATAATACATTAAGGAGGTGCCCGGCATCCCAGGATCTCCGACCCACCAGCCGAGCGGAGGCTGGACGGGCCCCAGATTTCGGCTTATTTGCTCCGCCGTTTGCCGATCTGCCATCCCCATGATCTGAGCACCTTGACAACCTTTGGCGTAACCGCGGCGGTCAAAGGCACTCTGAGGAAGATGAAACTTTTGTGGATTGCATATGCCAAAGCCAACTGAGTTCCCAAGCCTACAACAAAGTCAGTTCGTGGAGCTTTTCAACCCTCGACCTCGAGAGTTCTCGTATTGCAGTTCATGTCGACTTACTGGCTTCCGCTTTGTTGGCGCGCTGAGCTTCCTCGACTCCCCATGTTGCCTTCTCAACAGCATCGCTGATGTCGTTGTTTCCCAGCTGCTCGGTTTCGGCCTTGCTGAGTGCGGCTCTGTATTCGGTCCACCAGGTCTTGACTGAATCAGGGATCACTTTTTGAACGTGGGACACTACCCAGTGCTCCAGTTGACCTACAACCTATGTGTCAGTACTGACTCACCACACTTAGACTCGCATATATTGCTCACCAATCCGGTCGGTTCCAACGATCCGCACGAGCAGGAAACAAAAAGGAAAATCCAGAACGCTCAACGCCAAATACACGCCAACGGCCGACCACCCATATTCGCGCGAAAGCTTCTTCAACCTTTGACTGAGCGAAAGCGACTCTTTGACAGCACCGTCTGCCGAGTTGCTCTGCCTGGCGGAGAACCGGAATGTCCGGCGTGATGACCTGAAGATCGTTTCGAGCCGAGACGTGATCCAGCTTGAAGTCTGACTTTGCGACCAGCGGAATTGGGTTTGCGATGCGCCAGGTCTTTGATATGTTGCTTGCGGGGTTGTTGTCTTGAAACTTCTCGTTGGTGCAGTGAATTGCTTCCTCCACAGTGCCTCTGTTGCATTTTGCCTCGCTGCCGGTATCGCACGGCGCGGTAGGGTTGCCAATTGGAAAGCTGGTCGCATCATCTTGATGGCTAGCACGATTACGCCAATAGCCCCTAGACACAGATTGTTGATTCTTATGGCTCGTTGTGGTATGTCTCGACTCGAGTCAAGGTTGTAAGGTCGGTCGTGAGTGATGGGTTGCGATGGAGACGCGCCGAGCTAATCAAGCTTGCGTGCAAACGGAATTTTTCTTTTGGAAGCCTGGGTTCCGAATCGCCGTAAACTCCGCGTGGATGACGACAAAAAGTGTGTTTTGCCTCCGATACGCCGGTCTCCGATGGTGCCGTTGTCGCCGAAGCTTCCAGTCGTCGGTGTGCGCACACAATCAGCCCAAAAGTTCGCAAAAAGGCTCGGTCGTACTGATCAGTGCGGATGCTGCTTCGGTGGCTTACGCGCGCGGCGAAAGTCACGTTGGTTCTCGCGTCTTTGACCCTGGATGTTGAAAAAATCTGACGAGAAATGGATCTCCTCCGACGAACTGCCCAGCTGTGTCGTGGGTACCCGGTAGAGGCGGCACCCGCGTGCGGAACATGCCGTCAGAGATGTGGCTGGTGATATGGTGGCGTTTTCATCACGTGAGATATATCGGAAAAAGACTGGTCCCGGTATCCGACCTCATCTCATCACTCGGAAGTCGGCCCGGGTCAGTCTCAGATACGGACGTGTCTGCGACAAGCCACAAACTTTACTCTTACTACGCATGCGCTGTGTCTTACACACCCCATGATAACTTCACCGCCATCACAAATCACTCGCACTGACTAGCCCGTCCTCTTGGCTCCAACAACGGGCAGAAATTTGGAGAGGTCTGGAACCAACATGTTGGACTCATCGCTCATTAAAAGTCAATCTGCGGAATGTGTTAGCCTCAGCGCATCGCTGCGATATTCTCCCATTCGCTCGCATCAAATTTACGAGGGCCTTCTCAACTCAAAAGCGTATTAGGCCGTTAAATAGATTGTCAGCAGGTCTGAGAACTGATGCGATCCCTCGAATGGAAAGGTTTGCCTGCGAAAACGCACCATTTTCCTTCAGGATCTCTGCTTTGCCCCACGATCTCCTCTGGGTTGAGGGTTATAGGGAATTCGTCAAGGGTGTGGGACAGGGGCTTCCACTTTGGAAGCTACCTAATGGCTCAAGCTCCGTAACACCTCGGAGTATCGATAGGTCGGCTGCGCCATCCTCCGTCCAAAGCTTCGTAGAAGTCCTCGGTGTTTCTCTGGCAGCAGTTTCTCTTTTCCTCGCAACTTTGTACGTGGTGATGATGCAATTAGCAATGATTTCATCCAACGTTCACGGTTACTACAGCAGGCAACCAGATAATGCAATACAAACTCTATCGCAATAAATGTCAGTATTCAGGTTTTCTGCCAAACTTTGGAGCGCGCTTCGTAATATCGAATAGGAAACGAGAGGTTCGGAGTAAGCCCGAAGATTATCCAGGTGGACATTCATCGGATTTGGGCCCGATCAGTATTGGCATTACCACCCTGGCATCACCATGGAGTTCAACATGAACGTGTCATGGACCGACAAGGGCCGGCAGGTTCAAGCTCATCAGCCCCGATTGCCGCCTATAGCTCCAGCCGCCGTCGTTATCCAATTCCACCAACCGACCGCACTTCCGTCCCCGAGACCCGGAAGACGGTGGGCGGAGAGGTCGGTGATCCCGGGCTGCCATGGCTTCGATAGTGCTGCTTGGGAGTTTCTTATATCACCTTGATAAACTCAGAATTCTACCGAATAATTCAACCGAATCATTGAGCGTTCATTATTGGTGTTTCAGTTCAGCCTTGTTGACCGCTTCAAGTACAACCAAACTTTGCAGGCAGCAGGTGATCACGGTGATCTCTCCGTCCAGACAAATGAATTGGAGGGATATCAATAGCGCAAACTTTCTTGAGGACCCTTCAACCCCGTCCAAGTATACATAGTATGTAGAGCACGCTTGCGACGACCGTGCGGGGCGCGGCAGGCAGAAGGGTCCTCTTCGGACAAGGTTTGCTATACAAGTACGAGTGCTTGTCGTCAGGGATGCGAAAGTCAAATTCCCGCCAGGGCCCGCCGGGCTGAAAAGTCAGGATGCTTTCATGATTTTACATTACACACAGCTTACATCTCACGGTCTAGCGGTCTTCAGTCGCACGATGTGCTATTGGTTGGGAATTGAACAAGGCCACAACATGCACCACCAGTATGCTTGGCACCCCGAGCTCCTCCGAAGTCGTTGGCGCACTTCGGGTCCGGCTCGTGGTTCATGGCGAGACCCTCTGAACATCTGGGTCCCCTGGTACGATGCCACCCCCACCACGGATATTTTGCTTGGCGTCTCCCAGGATCGAATGCATACCTACTGTGGTACATCCTGGTGGTAGCTGACTTGTGGGCGAGGGGGTGAACGTAGGGGTGATCAGTGTGGGTGGGTGTGCGTTTGTCAAAGCGTGTGTGTGAGAGAGAGCGAGAGACGTGAGTGACTTGCAGCTCTCTGAATGCTAGCATTCGATGACACAGGCACATAATTCGATAGTTCGGATGGTCTATTCTCTGAGTGTTTTCCTCTCTTCCCTTTCCAATACCTTTTTTAGGCGTGGCCTCCGCGGCTAACGCGGGAGTCAGGACCCCGCGATAGTTTTCTCACATAGACTTTTTCTCGAACTTTTCCAACCTTCTTGGCGTCTGAGTCCAAAGGCCTCCTCCAACACCGGCGTCCGTCGCCTTCACCGAGGTCTGGAAGTCTAAACCGTACGGAGACAATGCCTTGGCGGCATGCTGCAAATCGTCCACTTTACGCACATCTTGCGACTCGTTATCCCAATTCGTACTTACCCCTTCCTTTCGTCCTTTTTGCGATATGTGCAACATTCAACGTCCGGTCCACTTGGTGGCGGGTATCGTGCATCGTATTCGATACTTTAAGGAAATGTATACATATCCCTGCATCCCATCGATCCATGATTCCACATGGCTACGAGTTGCCGGCCAGATGCCGCTTCCGGGAGCTGGAAGAGGCGGGTGGCTCTGATTGGTACACCCCAGTTTACAGGCTGCCGTGGCTGCTCCGCCTGAGATGGTAATCCTACTAGAATTGACACAGATATTGCGATAATGAACCTCGGACTCGAGTCAGGAAGAGCCTCGGAATGGGCCTCGTTGCGCAGTACATGATTATCAAGCGTCCCAGCGGCCCATTCCGCAATGACTAACGAGAAGACCCGCCGTTTGTTACGCATAGAAACGGTCCACCTCCGACTGCTGTACCAACAATCAGAAGTTCCAGGGCGATGGTGGGCTGTCGTTTGAATCAGCAACCGGGCCAGGTCCGACAATAGCATCAGGCGGGGCCCCCATGGCTTTTCTTTCCGAGGCAATCCCGAGCACGCCTTTTTCTGCTCAAAATTGATGTTTACTGAGGCGAGAGCCCTGATAGTGAAGCCTTCCGCCCTCTGACTCGTTTCTCGGGGCGTGGCCTAGAATGGCAAGCTTCCAGAAGCATAGCACGGTTGGTTTCAGGTCCGTATTGCTGACAAAGGGCCAAGAGAATAAGAGAGTTTGTTGCTGGTTGGGTGCAATAATCTAAAAGGGTTGTCACGAGTTGCTGAATTGCCCAGAATTGCTCCTTTGGCTCTGGACAACTTTTGGACGAATTACCGTAATCGTAATATGTCCCGAAGCGAACATGGAATTTCGCAAAGAAGAAAAGGAAGAAAAAAAGATCAGATGGGTTTGTTTCATATCGTCTGGAAATTTCTGCCCAGGAATGTCGTCAAACAGACATCATGGGACGCTGCTGCCCACGATTCGCAAGTGGCTGCGTGCGGACCGGGCGGAAAGATTCCCGGGATCGATCCCCACTGAGTACCGTGGAACGGTAGCTGAGATGGTGTGTGGACGTCCAAGTTTGTGTTCCCGGCCGCTGCTCACCCGTGCTTCCACGTGTATCAATAGAGAGTGGCCATATCCTGATTGACGTATGCAGGTAGAGTCAAGACGAGTGTACAAGGACCTCATGACACATCTCGAGAGTGGTATCTTCGTACGTGACACCCCTCTATAAACCTAAAATTGCGGTTCGTGTATCGGGCGTTGACCGTACCGTGCCTTACACGTGTAAAGTCCCTTGATTCTCTCAAGAGCCCTGCTCCCAGTCTCTTCACTGAACAAGCTTTCGATTTAATCAAATCAATCGCCTGCCCATTGCAAATTTGTCCTTTTTTTTTAACTCTCTATGCCAAGACATGTTATATCGCCAAACGAGCTCGATATTAGTTGTCTGGTCTTCTCTGATGGAACACTTAGGTCATGGCGCACTTTCTCCGATACGAGAGTTGCAAGCATTGTGTTGACTGCGGGATTCAGACGTAACCTAAGCAATGACATCCACCTGACAGCTGCGACAGATTTGTCTCTTTCGGGGCGCTACCTCTTAGCTCCCTCCCGCTTCCCGTACGGAACAATTCTTCTGAGGTCGTGAAGTGGGCGGGCTTGGGGGTTGTCCGGAATCCCCTTTGGGAGAGGCGAGGGAGCATCAGCCACCCGAGAGGCGAGGCCCTCAATGGAAGCTTCCAACTTCTGGGTGGGATCCGTGGTCGAGAGTCGTGCCGGCCGGGACAGTATTCGTGGAAACTGGAGCGGGATTGCGTGCAGCTGCCAAAAGGTTAAAACACCATGGTGGTGTGTAGTCAAGTACGGGAAGGTGTGCGTGCGTGTCAAACATCATCATGTGTCACTTGATCAAAGCCCGTAAAGCGTTTTTTCAAATACCGAAAAGCTTAAAGTACTAGCTTTGATAGCTACTTGGCTGTCCCATTGTGCCTATACAGCCTTTCCGAGTGCGATAACTAACCTAATGACGGTGTATATTTCGTTCTGCTTCTGAACTTTCTGTAAATTCCCATAATTTTGTCTTTGAGCTGTCAAGAAATGCATGGTCACCAATTAATAAGTCTTGGAAGAAGTCGTGGTTACATTGCTCTCTGTGAGAGTTCAGAGTTTCGTTAAAGCAAGTCTTGCTGCGCCACAAACTGAAAGCGACAGTAAGGAAACTTGTTTGCCCGGTGTTGGATTATCTCTCAGTGGTAATTCTGCTTCATCGGTAGGTATTTTGTCTTTTGGTTGCTAACTTATCCCCCGAACTCTCAACTCCTAAAGCTTTTCGGCGAGACCGAAAGCCTATAGATTCCGTGCAGAGCGCTGAGATACACGTAACCTACACGCTGTGACGTGGATCGCGATCAGCCAGTAAAATGGCCTTGACTGCAGAGTCAAAAGGAAAAACCTGCCCCTCGAGCGGTGTAATGTTTGCAGTCTATCCATGACGGTTGCATCTCAGTCAGAAGTCATCCAGGCAATCGTGCGTGTGTCGTGGAAGGGAAATGCTTTCTATTGCCGAACTTGGAGATTGCCGGCTCACTGACTATTCTCTCACCCCCCTAGCAGCGAAGGCAATGGTTAGGTCTTCCCGTCACAGCTATCTCCAAGGGCCCTAGCTCCGGAAGAGTTCATGGTAGCAATTTGCTCGCAGGATGGTACAATAGCAACAGACGCAACAAACGGCTATTGTGTATCGTACCACGATGATGCAGCTAACAGCAGGTGCAAGAGGTTCGTCACAGATGGCGCTGGCGGAACGGAGGGTACCCGGTCTTGGCACGGCTCGGGAGCGTGAAGGAGGGGCTTCGAGAAAGTCGGGAAAGGTTCCGTAAAGCGCTCCCCATCGGATACGGGACGGCTGACCAAGCGGTGCCTGAGTCGGTAGGAGACGATGTCCCTGCCCGTTTTGGAGGGAGAAACAGCCAACCTCCCAGGGCTTGCGTCATAGTTCCACCGAAGATAAATACGAGATATTAATGGGCAGCAAGGCACTGGGCGATAGGGCAAACTATGTAGCAACATGCAACCGGCAGGCAAAGAGCTCCTGTCAGGGTTTTCAGGGACCAGCTAGATCGATCCCCTTAGTCAATTCCCTTGAGAGTTGACAAGTCATTCAACCCTGCAAAAAGTCGGTGCTCTGTCCGGGAGAATACAAGTCCACCGACCGCATACTCACAACTTTTTAAGGTTGGTGATAGCTCCACGCATCTACATGAACAGCTCCACACGTGGTCGGTCAGTTGCGACTCAGTACGTCTTTTGAACGTAATGATGGTGTGAATATGACGTTAGAATAACGGCACAGCAGATCTTTTTTTCAATTGACATAGTTGTTTCCAGTTATATCTGGATATCGCAACTTCTCGTGACGTATTAATGTCCAATTCGCCATGTACAGGATGGGGAATCCGAGTTGCGACACTCCAGAGTCTTGAGTCCTTGTTGTTAAGCACTTCTTGAGAGTAATTGCAAGCGCAGTGTTTTACTTCCCTGACATACAATGTGACGGCGCTTGGCGCTCCCTCGTCTGCCCACGCAATCCCAGGCCTTTTCATGCCTTGATGACTTGTGAACTTTGATTTTATCTCATAATCGAGAGTCAGGTCTTTAAGCTCAAAGTGCCCAGGCTGATCGTAATGACATTTCGATGTTGCCGAATGGAGGGGTAGACATAGCACCTGAAGCTTTGCTATTATGAATCACGAGAGTTGGTTCTAAAATCGTGCAGTGAGGCTGACGTCGAAGCTCCAAATAACTTCAGAAGACTGACTTGAGATGGGAGCATAGGCCTGTAAACACTGGGCCTTCTCGTGGTATTCAGCCTGTTCTGCCCAGTGATCTGCATGGGAGTACGGATAGAGGTGAACGACTCTTAGGACGAAATTAGCATGCAAATGTGGTCCTTGTCATGTCATCTATCTGGTAGTTCGGGGATTTTGGCTACGTTGGTAAGACGTCGGAGGGTATAGCACATCTTGGCGTGTCCCCGTGAATGGCAACAGTCGCGCAGACCTAGTCTTCTGACTTTATCAACAGATCACTGTCCCCAAGAATTAAACCTCAGAGGTAAAGATTGAGCGGTCTATCTGAAGCGCACTAAGGACGTATTTGGGAGAATAGAAACTGTGTATGTCCGGTGAACTCTGCTACTGCTGCCAAGATATATATATAACATACACCATCGGCGTTGGTATTAGTCGAAATGTTGAGAACGAGGTCAAATGTGAGCCGAGAGCTCACAGGCTACAAGTTAGCAGGCAAGATCGCAGAACGGCAGAGTTTCTTGGTCTTGGAAATGTACCTGCGGGAATACAGATCAATCCCCGGATCAGCAAAGCGGTGTGATAGTGTGCGATACCTCAGAGGCTATTACCACGTCCGTTCAATTG